GAGCAAAGCTTAACCCCCGCAAACACAACTAGGTGAATACACGGTGGTCACCCACTTTGTTCTTCATAACCACTTACATGGGCATAGTGAGGGGCCTGAGCTATGCATATTCCAATATATGACAGATGAGATAAGTGCGTGCAGCAAGACATGTGCTGCGGTTGGAGGAGGAGTGTGTCGAGACGGTGCCGGGGGGTCCGGGGTGTTGGTGTGGTGGACCAGTCAGTCTTGAGTGGTCCAGCGGCCTCCTCCACCACCCCCCGGGCTGGCAGCCAATAATTACCACATTTCCTCACGTCACAGCGGCGGAAGTATCGCGGGTAACGAAAAGGTGGACTCTGAGATTGCCCAGTGTCAAGTGTGTCTTGCTGGCTGGGTCACCCCCGCCGCCGCCCCTCAACGCTTGCTAATGCCAAGTCACGAGGCGCTAATCTTGGGGGTTTAGATTATTGTGGTGTGAAGATGGTGGCAAGTCCTCCCACACGGTGACCTCCACACGGGGTCCTCGGCCCCACACGGTGTAGCAAGTGACCTCCACACGGGGTCCTCGGCCCCACACGGTGTAGCAAGTGACCTCCACACGGGGTCCTCGCCCCCCACACGGTGTAGCAAGTGACCTCCACACGGGGTCCTCGCCCCCATACGGTGAACAAGTGACCTCCACACGGGGTCCTCGGCCCCACACGGTGTAGCAAGTGACCTCCACACGGGGTCCTCGCCCCCCACACGGTGTAGCAAGTGACCTCCACACGGGGTCCTCGCCCCCACACGGTGTAGCAAGTGACCTCCACACGGGGTCCTCGCCCCCCAACCCGTTCCCCCACACGGTGTAGCAAGTGACCTCCACACGGGGTCCTCGGCCCCACACGGGGTCCTCGCCCCCACGGTCACTTTTATTTGACTTATTTAGATTTAATCCAAAATTGCAGGGTTGCCGTATGTCCATCGCTCTGGGGACTGGAAGATGGGTTACGAGGATATCCTCAACAACACGACCACGCATGAAATAATTGTAGAATTATTAGTACCTCAAATCAGCAGGTCTGCGGGGTCTAATGACTGGACATTCAGTAATATAGTGTGTGAGATCATTGCCCAGTTCCTGCTCACAGAGTGGGCACCTGGTGTGCTCTGGACGGGGAGATGCTTCATTTGCACCTACCTGCCTGCCTACCTGCTTGGGGGGGGGGGTCAGTTTCATCTTAATTACATGATGATTTAACAGTTGTCATGATGATGATGAGTTATGTTGTCTGAGATGGTACTTCTACACCGAACAGGTTGTTAATTAAAGGTGTTATGAGATTCTCGTTGACTATCTTGCAAGTGATGCTCTCAGGTTCTTGAAGAACTCATCTTAACTTCCCAAATTCAAACCGTCCACTTGTGATCTTTTAGAGTTGTAGTAGCAATTTCCAGAGTAACTATTTATGTTAGCGTAGGCTTTAACTAGTTGTTTAACCACTTATACATCGTAAAACTGTGAAGAAGTGGACTGAACCCTCTCATAAAAACTGATAAAAAGATGTAATTTAGAGAAAATAACCCACATCCACTTAGATTGGTGGGTAGAGCGCCGACCTCGCTTCTCGCAGGTCGGCGTTCGATCCCCGATTGTCCAAATGATTGGACAATCACCATTTCCATCCTCTAGTCCTCATATCCTTCCCACAAGTGCTATATATAGCCATACTGGCTTGGTTAGTTGTCAAGACTACTAACTGCCTTGCCACCGAAAACTCACTTGGAATCAGCGTTCACATGATCCCGAAGAGACTGTAAAGCGTGCCGCCCCGCTCATCCTGATGAGACGGAGCGTCAGACGGAGCGTCAGACGGAGCGTCAGACGGAGAGTCAGACGGAGCAGATGAGGGAGAATGAAGTCTAAAATCTTGATCTTGAAGGTGTGTTGCGGTACATTAGTGGATGCACGGCAGCCTTTATCCTGGGGGCCGCGCGTTCCACAGCGGCTCTTGCTAATAAGATCGTAAGAATAAATGAAAGTGCAGAAGGCTTAATGGCAGGCAGCAATTCCACAACCACTTAGGTGGCTGTCGGCTTCCTCAGACAACCACTTAAGTAGCTGCTGGCTTCCTGGGACAACGGTCCAACGACCACCCAGATCTTATCGCCACCTGCGGTCACAACATCAGCTTATTACCGATTACCAGAATAGTTTTTTTCCCTGAACTCTTCTCGTGGTGCTGGGGACAGATAACAGCCGGGGCAACGTAACGCCAAACAAGCAAATAACACACACACACACACACACACACACACAAGACTGAATAACGTAATCAGTTGGTGAATATGGCCGCAGACCAAAATCACAAGATATACACATTAGGGATAGGTACGTTTTACAGGAGAGATGAACAACTGCACATTATTACCTTGGGGGGTCACTAACGCTTAACAAGGAAACTCCCTGAAGGGCCAGAGCAGACCTTGATAACTAATCCGGCCTCTTAACTCTACCTTAGACCGGGATAAAGTCTTAACTCTACCTTAGACCGGGATAAAGCTGCACTTTAGATATGAGAGGTGAGCCGTAGACGGGAGCTGGTGGAGGTGAGCGGCGTGTGTGGAGAAGGAAAGGTGAGGACGGTGGCCCAGCTCCTCCCTCACCACCACCTTGGTACTGGAGCGTAAACAGGTTTAGCACACTTACCTTCTCGGGAAGAAAGTCGACGAATGAAAATGAGCTGGTCATTACCAGGGTGCTGAAGACACGGGTCGGGCACCAGACGTCTGGCTGGCCTTGACATCACCATCACAGAGGTGCTGGGTTACAGGCGACGAGCCCTACACAACCACCGCACTCACATGGTTAATAAGCAGCTGTTTGTGTCATTTGTATTACCGCGAGTGACCTCTCCTGGGCAGAGCATCGCCAGGACCTTGGGGGCTGACGGAGATCCCGGGCTAACTCTTCTTGATGACGTTATCAACTCTCTCATGGGTTTCTCTGCTCTTTAAAAACAGTCGACCTTTTTCAGCCTGTAGTCATACCCAGCTGTGTGTGTACACAGGTACATGGTCCATATGTACACTAGTACATGGTCCACATGTACACTAGTACATGGTCCACATGTACACTAGTACATGGTCCACATGTACACTAGTACATGGTCCACATGTACACTAGTACATGGTCCACGTTCATTTAACATCCCTCGACCCAACACTTTCAAGTTTTTGCTGATCCAGCGAACTATTACATCACCCTCCCTGGCAGGTGTTTTCTCCCTCAAGTTATATCATTACAGTGTCTCCTGACGGGTCCTCCGGAGAGCCACAAGATAAGACTCCTGTACCAGGGGCAGGCGGAGATAGTGCCATACATGTCCATAATGATACATATAACAAATCTCATTGTTACCATTGAAGAGCGCGGGCGCGAGATGTTAAATAAGTTACGCCTAAGTGGTAATGTCGGAACACTCTGGGCACTAGGCAAGAGTGGAACTTGATGTGATTTTGTGTATATCCACGACCCTGCATGGCTTTACCCTGCCTGTCAGGGCCAAAGTTTGTGAAAGTATCCAGATTGAAGTGTTTCATGCATGAAGCCCCTCAACTTGGAGGGTTAGTTCGGAACCGGGGTTCGAGTCCCCTAGAGCCCAGGTGAATGGGGAGAGAGAAGGGGAGAATGCGGGCCACGCATCTTGGAGCCAGAACTGACCTACCCGACTACACTAGATGTTCACCCTGCACTGGTCAGCAGCTTTCACTGCGGTCACCGCACCTATGGTACCCGGAAGCTCTGCACCACCACAAGGGGCCACTCTCCTGCACTTCTATAACCAGCCTCGTGTTGCTAACCATCAACCCAAGCACCACTTTATTGGAACATTATCATGGCCAGCCGGAGGCTCCGGGCCCGCGCTGGAATATCCCTGCAAAACAATATATATATATATATATATATATATATATATATATATATATATATATATATATATATATATATATATATATATATATATATATATATATATAATTGTGTGTGTGTGTGTGTACTGACGTAGTACTCACCTAGTTGTGTTTGCGTGGGTTGAGCTCTGGCTCTTTGGTCCCGCCTCTCAACCGTCAATCAACAGAGTATTGTGTGTGTGTGTGTGTGTTAAACTTTAGTCATATTGTGTAAATTTTAACTTATGTTGAGGACTATAATTTATTAGGTCCTGTTCGTTATTACTTTCCTCATATATCTAGACACGTCAAATTAAATGTCACAGTCGAGTTTTTTATTTTTATGTCATAACATTAATGGAAATGCCTGACAGCGTCTCATACGTTGTTGATATGCGGAATGATGTAATGGCGAGTGTTGGACGACAGTAGCATGAACAACAGCGGGTTGCTGGCCACGTTACTCTACTTGTCATCACACATAGCTTCTTGCCTCGTAGGTAAGTCTGCCAGGAAGCGTGCCAAAGCGGCCAGACTGACCCCCGTCACCTCAAGATGGCGTTAAGGTGGTCTTACCCAGCTGTCCACTCTCAGTCTTCATCAAGATGGCAGTATTCCGGTACACAGTGAGATCACAATAACGTGATATACACCAGATTGTGTAACCTTTAGCATATCATGGTCCAGGGGGTTAAGGCGCGCGTCTATTGGGGGTTATCCAGGAGGCTGGTTCCTGCTCCAAATATTTTCTCAGCATTCTAGTTTCCCAATTCAGTCCTAATTCAGATTTTGAATATAAGAGTTGTCGTATACCTGGCTATCTCACTGGACCTGATATCATCACTATCCAATCCACGAATGACTCCACATCTGGACACCTCGTTAGTGTTGGCCAACTGACCAACCAGCAAAGTATACTATAGTCCTGGACAATTGCTCAGAACTAAAGTATATTAGGTTCAGTATACAGTTGCTGCGGCTCATTAGACTGGGCGCTGCTAATTGGGAACTGGGTGCTGAGTAAACCGGTATTGCATAACCAATTACTAGATGTACTGCTCAATATGTTCTCCTTTCTTCCTCAGGTGAGATGGGCCCCGGGCGACCAGGTTCACCAAGCCAGCCAACACCAGGTAGGCTCACCCGCTCCCAGTACACGCCTCCTCGCTACTCTCCTAGTACACGCCTCCTCGCTACTCTCCCAGTACACGCCTCCTCGCTACTCTCCTAGTACACGCCTCCTCGCTACTCTCCCAGTACACGCCTCCTCGCTACTCTCCTAGTACACGCCTCCTCGCTACTCTCCCAGTGCACGCCTTGCTACTCTCCTAGTACACGCCTCCTCGCTACTCTCCCAGTACACGCCTCCTCGCTACTCTCCTAGTACACGCCTCCTCGCTACTCTCCCAGTACACGCCTCCTCGCTACTCTCCTAGTACACGCCTGCTCGCTACTCTCCCAGTACACGCCTCCTCGCTACTCTCCTAGTACACGCCTCCTCGCTACTCTCCCAGTACACGCCTCCTCGCTACTCTCCCAGTACACGCCTCGCTACTCTCCTAGTACACGCCTGCTCGCTACTCTCCCACTACACGCCTCCTCGCTACTCTCCCAGTACACGCCTCGCTACTCTCCCAGTACACGCCTCGCTACGCTCCCAGTACACGCCTCCTCGCTAGTCTCCTAGTACACACCTCCTCGCTATTCTCCCAGTACACGCCTCGCTACTCTCCTAGTACACGCCTGCTCGCTACTCTCCCAGTACACGCCTCCTCGCTACTCTCCCAGTACACGCCTCGCTACTCTCCCAGTACACGCCTCGCTACGCTCCCAGTACACGCCTCCTCGCTAGTCTCCTAGTACACGCCTCCTCGCTACTCTCCCAGTACACGCCTCCTCGCTACTCTCCCAGTACACGCCTCCTCGCTACTCTCCCAGTACACGCCTCCTCGCTACTCTCCCAGTACACGCCTCCTCGCTACTCTCCCAGTACACGCCTCCTCGCTACTCTCCCAGTACACGCCTCCTCGCTACGCTCCCAGTACACGCCTCCTCGCTAGTCTCCTAGTACACGCCTCCTCGCTACTCTCCCAGTACACGCCTCCTCGCTACTCTCCCAGTACACGCCTCCTCGCTACTCTCCCAGTACACGCCTCCTCGCTACTCTCCCAGTACACGCCTCGCTTCGCTCCCAGTACACGCCTCGCTACGCCCCTAGTATACGCCTATTTATTTAATAATATTTGCCTGGTCCATTAGTAACCAGAAGCTCCCTCCAACACCTTACTAAGAACGTTCTAATCCTTCCCATACAACTATTGTAAACTTTTATATAAATTATATAAAAAAATGACTGGTGATTGATCTCTTTAATTTATGGGAAAAGATGTATTGAAATTTTGTATTTGTCACCGACTGTGCCTGAAAGCGTTTGCCTGTTCCATTTAGGTCAAGGAACTAACGCCAGTCGCAGTGGTCCGTCTGTGACAAGCCGCTGAATACCTGCTTCTTATATCTCCATTAAACATTGCTTCATTAAAAAACCGGTATTCGTTGCTTGTAGCGGAACTGTTTTTTGGCCATTCTTACTGTCTGCTAGTTGAGTGATAGAGTGTGTGTGTGTGTGTGTGTGTGTGTGTGTGTGTGTGTGTGTGTGTGTGTGTGTGTGTGTGTGTGTGTGTGTGTGTGTGTGTGTGTCTCGCCCTCCAACAGTGGAGGAGGAGGAGGACATGGGTGTGGACATACCCGCCAGCGTAGCAGCCAAGACACGCATGGATACGATCATACCATCATGCTCTAACCTGGCCATCGTAAGACCAGCATTTACGAGCCCCAGGGGAAGGAGGTCTCCGGGACACCTTACACGGTGTCTCTCTCTCTCTCTCTCACCCTGGGATATCCCCGCTTGACACCTGCTTGATGGGGTTCTGGGAGTTCTTCTACTCCCCAAGCCCGGCCCGAGGCCAGCCTTGACTTGTGAGAGTTTGGTCCAACAGGCTGTTGCTTGGAGCGGCCCGCAGGCCCACATATCGATACACCACAGCCCGGTTGGTCCGGCACTCCTTGAAGAAAACTATTTAGTTTCCTCTTGAAGATGTCCACGGTTGTTCCGGCATTATTTCTTATGCTCGCTGGGAGGGGATGTTGAAGGGATGGGATCCCTTCAACATGCTGAAGGATGCTGGGAAGGTATCCAGCCACACTCGACACAGAATCGACCAATCTGCTAAGACCTCGACGTATTGGTCGAATTAAAGCACTAATATTTACAGAGGTGATGAGGGACAATAACGTGGCTGAAGATATGATGACCAGACCACACACCAGAAGATGAAGGGATGACGACGTTTCGGTCCGTGCTGGACCATTCTCAAGTGCTGTAATGACCTCACAGGACTTGATAACGGTCCAGGACGGACTGGACCGTTGTCGTTTCATAAATTCCCCCGATGTGTGCTTTGGAGACCTCTAATATGTCTATTAGTGGTCTATGCATCGGCTTCGATAGGGTTACTAGGGTTGTTTGGGTTCGTACGTTAATGATTAGGCAAAACAACTGCATGTCTTACGGAGTGGCACATCGGGAGAATGGTCTCCTCACGAAAGAAACAAATCCACAAGGGCCGTGACGAGGATTCGAACCTGCGTCCGGGAGCATCCCAGACACTTGTGGATTTGTTCATTTGATGCATCACGTTAGTGATCTCTGTGTGTGATGGTCTCCTCACCATTCCTGCCCCTCCTTCCCATACCAAATCCTTATCCTGACCCCTTCCAAGTGCTATATAGTCGTAATGGCTTGGCGCTTTCCCCCCTGATAGCTTCCTTCCCTTCCTTACCCCCACATAAACAACAATTATAAATCCAGAAGATAAGGGATGGAGCCAGGACTGAGAGGCTTGAACTGTGAGGAAAGGCTGAGGGTGACGGACCTCACATCACTCGGTCTGAGGACCTCACATCACTCGGTCTGAGGACCTCACATCACTCGGTCTGAGGACCTCACATCACTCGGTCTGAGGTCCGACTTGACGCAATACACGAGATATGGAAGCTTCTCGTGGGTATTAGTAAGGTCCAGGGCCTAGATTCACGAAGCAGTTACGCAAGCACTTGCGAACGTGTACCTCTTCTCAATCTTTGGCGGCTTTGTTTACAATTATTAAACAGTTAATGAGCTCCGAAGCACCAGGAGGCTGTTTATAACAATAACAACAGTTAACTGGGACGTTTTCATGCTTGTAAAACTGTTTAATATATAACCAAAAGCGTCAAAGATTGAGGAAAGATGTACATGTTCGTAAGTACTTGCGTAACAGCTTCGTGAATCTGGCCCTAGGGCCCGTATTCATCTTTACGGGCTCACTATAGCCCGTGCTACATGGACATTTCGTCCAGAGTAGCTAGATCTTAAACAACGACAACCAGATTCGTCGATCGTCATTGCATTAGGCAACCGGTAAATGATAATGCTGGGCTTAGGAGCTAACTCTCGACCTTGAAAGCACATTTAAGTGAGTACATGTACGCATGTGCGCACACACACGTACGTGCGTTATCAAAATTGATGTCGTCCAAATTGGCGAGTCCGTACAAGTGGTGGATTGCGTGAGTTATTAATTATACGAGGGACACAAGGCGATTTCTCACACTCTCACCCGTCTCCTGGTCCACCCGCTGTGTCTCACCCGTCTCTTGGCCGACCCGCTGTCTCTCACCCGCCTCCTGGCTGTCCCGCTCTGTGTCTCACCCGTCTCCTGGCTCACCCGCTGTGTCTCACCCGTCTCCTGGTCCACCCGCTGTCTCACCCGTCTCTTGGCCTACCCGCTGTCTCTCACCCGTCTCCTGGTCCACCCGCTCTGTGTCTCACCCGTCTCCTGGTCCACCCGCTCTGTGTCTCACCCGTCTCCTGGCTGACTCGCTCCATCTCTCACCTGGGCTGCATATACTCTAGGACTGTCTCACGTAGGTTTACAGTGATCTGAATGCCTCATTATTTAGGTTCCTGATTGATGCTCTGACTTTTACCAGTGTAGAGTATGCTGCTGATATTATCCTCTTAATATCTGCCTCTGGAGTTATCCTCTTAATATCTGCCTCTGGAGTTATCCTCTTAATATCTGCCTCTGGAGTTATCCTCTTAATATCTGCCTCTGGAGTTATCCTCTTAATATCTGCCTCTGGAGTTATCCTCTTAATATCTGCCTCTGGAGTTATCCTCTTAATATCTGCCTCTGGAGTTATCCTCTTAATATCTGCCTCTGGGGTTATCCTCTTAATATCTGCCTCTGGAGTTATCGTCTTAATATCTGCCTCTGGAGTTATCGTCTTAATATCTGCCTCTGGAGTTATCCTCTTAATATCTGCCTCTGGAGTTATCTGGTGTTATCCTCTTCCAGGTGTTTTTATCTAATTGTTAGAGAGAAGGCAGGAAAGGAACTATCAGGAAAAAGCACCAAGCCATTCCGACTATATACCACTGGGAAGGGATCAGGATAAGGATTTGGGATGGAACGGGGGGAAGGAATGGTGCCCAACCACTTGGGCGGTCGGGGATTGAACGCCGACCTGCAAGAAGCGAGACAGTCGCTCTACCGTCCAGCCCAAGTGGTTGAGCAGTTAGATAACATTTATTGTGTACCGTGTTGATCGTCTCCCGTCAACTGTTCCCATTTCCCCCCCTCATCTTACACTTGCTGGTATTGAGATCTAGTAGCCATTTCTAGGACCAACTCTGAAGTTTATTTTAGTCGTCATTTTGTATTATACAATCGTCGTATTATACAATCGTCGTATTATACAATCCAATACACATTATACAAACCTGTCGGACTGTTTAATTGTGGATCGTCTCGGAACTTGGACACGTAGGACGCGACTCTTGCAGTTAGGTCGCCAACATAAATGAGAAATAATACAAGGCCTAGCAGCGATCCTTAGCTTACGCCAGGCCCACTTCTCGCACCCTCACTGTGACTCTCAGTCCTGTCCGTTAGGTACTCCCTCGCCCATGTCAGTGCTCTTTCACGTACTCCAGTCATTAAAGTCTGTGTAGTAGTCTTTTCTGCAGGAGTGTCAACCGATTTTTGTCTGTCCAGTGTGTGTGTGTGTGTGTGTGTGTGTGTGTGTGTGT